TGTATTTTCATTTTCATTTGTCTCCAGGTAATTTTTTATTTCTCCTTTGATTTCTTCATTGACCCAGTTGTTGTTCAGTAGCATTTTGTTTAATCTCCACTTATTTGTTGCTTTTCTGATTTTCTTCCTATGATTGATTTCTAGTTTCATACCTTTGTGGTCAGAAAATATGCTTGGTATTATTTTGTTCTTCTTAAATTTATTAAGACTTGCTTTGTGTCCCAGTATGTGATCAATCTTGGAGAATATTACGTGTGCATTTGAAAAGAATGTGTATTCTGTGGTTTTTGGATGGAATGTTCTATATATATCTACCAAGTCCATCTGTCTACTGTGTTGTTTAAGGCCAATGTTTCCTTATTGATCTTCTGTTTGGATGATCTATCCATTGGCGTAAGTGGAGTGTTAAAGTCCCCTACTATGATTGTGTTACTGTCTATTTCTCCTTTTATGTCTGCTAATAATCGCTTTATATATTTAGGTGCTTTTATGTTGGGTGCATAGATATTTACAAGTGTTATATCCTCTTGTTGGATTGTTCCCTTTATCATTACATAGTGCCCTTCTTTGTCTCATTACAGTTTTTGTTTCAAAGTCTATTTTCTGTGATATAAGTATTGCTACCTCAGCTTTCTTTTCTTTGCCCTTTGCTTGGAGTGTCTTTTTCCATCCTTTCACTCTCAGTTTGTGAGCATCTTTAGGTCTGAAGTCTGTCTCTTGCAAGCAGCATATATATGGGTCTTGTTTTTTTTAAATCCAATTAGCCACGCTTTGCCTTGTGATTGGAGCATTAAGTCCATTGACATTTAAAGTAGCTATTGATAAATATGTATTTATTGCCATTTTGTTACTTTTTTCTGGGTGTTTTAGTAGTTCTTCTCTGTTCCTTTATTATTCTCTTGCTCTCTTCCCTTGTGGGTTGATGGCTTTCTTTAGTAATATGTTTGATTTCTTCCCTCTTATTTGTTTATTTATTATAGGTTTCTGGTTTGTGATTGCCATGAGGTTCCTATATACTATTCTATGCATATAGCAATGTATATTGAGTCGATGGTCACTTTAGTTTGAGCTCTTTCTAAAAGCTCTACTCTTTTACTCCCCTTCTCCCACATTTTATGTTTTTGAAATCATATCTATTTTCTTGATTTGTGTGTGTCTATCTATTATCCTTTTATCATTGAAATAGGTAATTTTAGTACTTTTGTCTTTTAACCTTCATATTATCTTCATAGGTGGTTGATCTGCCACCTTTACTATATTTTTGCCTTTACCAGTGATTTTATTCCGTGGTTTTCTGTGGGGTTTTATGGATAATTTTCTTATCCCTATTTGTGGTCTTCTCTTTCCCACTTAAATAAGTCCTTTCAGCATTTCTTGTAGAACTGGTTTCTTGGTGAAAAACTCCTTTAATTTTTGCTTGTCTGGGAAGCTCTTTATCTATCCTTCCATTCTGAATGATAATCTTGCTGGGTACAGTATTCTTGGCTGTAGGTTTTTTTCCTTTCAGCACTTTAAATATATCATGCCACTCTCTTCTAGCCTGTAGGGTTTCAGCTGAGAAGTCCACCAACAGCCTATGGGCTTTCCCCTTTATGTCACTTGTTGCCTTTCTCTCACCACTTTTAGGATTCTCTCTTTATCTTTAATTTTGTACATTTTAATTATAATGTGTCTTGGTGTGTGCCTCTTAGAGTTTATCTTGTCCAGTGCACTCTGTGCTTCCTGTACCTGAATGTCTGTTTCCTTCCTTAGGTTAGGAAAATTTTCAGCTATTATTTCTTCAAATATATTCTCTGCCCCTTGTCTCTCTCTTCTCCTTCTGGGATACCTATAATACAAATGTTAGTGTACTTGATATTATCCCAGAGTTCCCTTAGACTGTTCTCATTCTGTCTAATTCTTTTTTCTTTTATCTGTTCAGCTTGGGTGATTTCCTCTAGTCCTTCTTCTAGCCCATTGATCCATTCTTCTGTCTCATCTACCCTGCTATTGAATCCCTCTAGTAAAATTTTCATTTCCAGTATTGTATTCTTCATTTCTGATTGGTTCCTTTTTATATTTTCCAGTTCTTTATTGACATTCTCACTGTGTTCATCCAGTCTTCTCCCAATATCAGTGAGCATCCTTACAAGTTTTTGTTTGAACTCTTTGTCAGGTAGATTGCTTATTTCTGTTTCATTTAGTTCTTTTTCTAGGGTTTTGTCCTGTTCCCTTGCTTGGAATGTATTCCTTTGCCTCCTCATTATGCCTCTTTCTCTGTGCTTATGTCTATGTATTAGGTGAGTTAGCTATGTCTCCTGATCTTGGAGAAGTGGTCTTATGTAAGAGATGCCTTTTGAGGCCCAGTAGTGTGCTTCCTTCTCGTCACCAGTCCAAATGATCCAGGAGTGACCCCTGTGTGGGCTACTTGTGTCCTTCTGCTGTGGCAGGGTTGCTCTTACTGCAGGTGCCCACGGAGTCTATTCTTTCCCTCCTTGGCCGGCTGTTACTAAATCGGGTTTGGGGAGCCCCAACACCATTGTCTACAAGGTCTAATAGCACACTCTTGTCGCAGCTTTCCTATTAATTGGGTGGGTGCCCAGTGTAGCTGGTTGCTAGGCTCAGGGGCTTACTGTTGCGGTAGGCCTCAGGCCTGCAAGGCTGTTGTCAGCTCTCTTAGTATTGCAGCTGAGTGGAGCTGGCCCCAGGCATGGAGCACCCAATTGCTTCAGGCTGTGGAAGGTGGGGCCAATCCTCTTTGTGGCTGTTGTGAAGCACAGGTCTTCTGCCACTGAAGAGCCCCACTCACCACAGGTCCACACACACCATCAACACAGTCCTGGTCTGTGCACACTTCCTGACCCCCTGGAGTGTACCCTGTCACCCAACTGCAGAGGTCCCCACCTCTCCACCAACGCCCCCCACAGTTCACCTGGTCCTCACACAGGCCCTGTCCCACAGAGGCAGACACTCTGGCCTGCCTGTAGAGGATCAAGGCACCCAGTCTATGCAGGTCAACAAGTAGCCTGAGGGCTTGCTGTTGGGTGGGGCCAGTTCCTAGGGCAGGCTGCCTCCCCTGGCTAAACTGCATAAAATCTGCCCTCTAGTGGGTCTGGCAGACCCCTTGGGCTAACAGGCCAGGGGAAGAACTTCAACGGTGTCTGCCAGCATCTGTGTCAGCACACCTGTACTAGATCACAACAGTGGCTGCCACCAATGTCTCAGTCTCTGGAGAGGTCTCATCTCTCACTGAGATGCACCCAGAGCCTACCAGGTGAGTCTCTTTTCACCAAAGGTCTGTGCAGCCACCTTTCTGGTGATTTTGGGTTGCTCTCTGAGACAGGTGAATTTGTACATAGGCCTTTAAGAGCTGGGGTTTTTTTGGCTTTTTCTCGATAGCATCTTCTGGGAGTATTCCCCATTGTAGTTAATAGCCAGCAAAGCCAGATAGTATAACCCTCGTCTCAGTTGTGCTGAGCCTGAAGGATGCTTATAGCGGTGATGGGCCCCTGCTAAAGTCCCTACTTCTCCAGGGAGGGCTGCCTACCTTAGGGTGCCTCCCTCCCTGCCAGCTGTGAAGCTCCACAGTTCATGAAGGTGGCTTTTTTTCTCTCCAGAGGAATTTATGCCTCTTCTGCCTCAGTCAGGACTGTCCCTTGTTGTGGGGGTTCTTTGTATCCAGTTTGCTCTCCAGGGTAATTTTTCCAAGAATAGTTGTAACCTGGTTGTGTTTGTGGGAGGAGGTGTGTTCGGAGTCTGCCTGTTTTGCCATCTTGATGAGATCCCCTAACTTCAGACTCTTAACCTGCATCCAAAACTCTCCATGATTTGGCTTCTTCCCTTTCTCAAGAATTTTCTTCGCCTGTTCCTCAAACAAGTCTTAGTTTCCAGCCACAACCAATAATTTACAGTTTCTCTAATGTGCCCAACTGTTTCAATTTCCCTGCTCTTGCACATTGTGTGTGGAGTTGGAATCACCTGTTATCTGCCTTTTAAATTGCAATTTGTCCTTCAAAACCCACCTCTCCTTATGGTCTTTATGAAGTTAACTCTGCCTCCCTCTTCTCCTGTAGGGTTAGTAGATCCGTCTTTCTTTTGCGCTACTACCATTCCTCTGTTATACAACTGAGCCCCTTAAGGGCAGTAACTGTGCCTAACTCATGTTGTATTCCCTGTTCCCAGCTCAGTAGTTGGCACATAGTCAGAGCTTAATAATTGTTAGTGAGTTTGACTTCGCATATATGGCATTTAGGATGAATAAAGGGCATCCAGATGGAGAAATGTTCAGTCAGAGGAGAGGGGTGGTGGCAGCTGTTACTGGCTTAAAAGTAATGGCTGAAGCTCTGAATGAGAATTATGAAAGCACAGAAGGTAAAGTAAGAAAAATGCTGAGGTAGGACGCCTCATTTAGGGACTACGCACCGGAAAAGAAGTCAGAAAAAGGAGACCAGGCAGAAGCTGCCAAGAGCAGAGGATGGAGACTGGCATATACTAGGTGCCCTGTAAATAAAATATCCCTTTTTAGATGCCTAAAAAACAAGCATAATCCCATCTAAAGATACTGTAACCAAGTTGTCATACCTTTCAAATCTTATCCTGTGTATATCTATACTTCTAACCTAAAAGGAGTCATTCAATTTGTAACCTGCTTTTTACACTTGATTATCTCGGGAAACATTTTCAAGTGAATATTCTCCTACACTATTTTTAATGGCGCCCCACTGTAGGACCTATCGGCCTTTCTATATGATGTTCTCCAAAGTGAGAATGGGGAGAGGAAGAGCCTATCACGTTAGGAGGCCCTCGCTGTGCTCTGGGACGGGTGGAAAGGTGAGAAAGAGAGGACTAGACCTCGGCGGGCCAAAGCGAGGGCCGGGGGCTTGCAGCTCGCGGGGCGGCCGGCGGGGGGCGCCGCGGGGCGGGAGGAAGGACGGCGCGGGGTGCGGCGGCGCGTAGCGGTTACTCAGGGCGGGCAGTTCAAACCGAAGGAGGAAGTGCGGCGGCCCCACGCGAACGCGGCGTGGGGGTTGCCATAGCCGGGCATCCCTGGGGGCGAGGCTGGGGCTCTTCCCCGGCGCGCCCGGCGGCCGCTGCCTCTCTCTCTTCCCGCCAGTCGGCCTCGGCGCCCCGCCTGGCCCGCCAGCGCCGTCGGTGCGGCCGCGCCGCGGTCTCCAGGTGGGCGGGAGCGGGGGCCCCAGGTGTGGGCCGGCCCCGCGCCCACTTTCTTCCCAGGTGCTGGGACTGGAGAGGCGCCTGGAGCCGTTCGCTTCTCCGCTCGCTCCGCTCCGGCTGACCCCCTTCCAGCCCTCGGCCTGTCGGCGGCTCTCTGGGCCCGGGGCCCTGGCGGCCGAGCTGAGCCGAGCCTGCCCCGGCGGCCTGGCCTCGGGACGGGCCGGCCGGGCTCACTGACGCCCGCGGAGACCGTTACCCACCCCGCTGGCCGCCGGCGGGGAGCGCTGACGGCGCGGCGGCTTTCGCTGCCGGTTCACAGCCCGAATCCAGGAGGGTTCCTCGGTTCCAAGGCCAGCTGGAGGAACAAGGATGTCGACGGTACTGTTGTCTGCAAAGCTGCAGGAAATTCAGAATGATTTAAGGCTTTTCAAATGTTAGAAATAACTCCTGCAGCGTGTCCTTTACGTACCCTTCAAATTTTAGCAGTCCTGGTGCTACTGCAGGTTTCAATTAATTGTTCAAACTAAAGTTTTCTTTTTAAGTGCTGTTACTTTGGCATGAATTTTAAAGGCAGTCAGAGATTTTCTTGTTTGGAATCCTACATAACTGACATCTAAGAGCTCAAGATTTCCTGATGGTAAGATTTTCCACTTTAACAAATGAAGGAAATTTGGTGTTGATATAGTTAAATAATAAGTATTTCATTCTCTGATTTTACAAGTCCTTTTTTTTTTTGAGCACTGAGATAAATGTTCTCAACTCTTTAATCAGGAGCCTGGTTTTAAAAAATGGATATTGAGGAGGTGGTTTGATTAATCGGTGAGCTGTTGAATCGGTAAAATTAGTCAACGGACATTCCATAATTTTCATGAATAATTTTAAATAATTAAAATAAGTTTTGAAGAACCAAGTTTTGTTTGAGACCAACCTCTTGGGGTAGTAGAAAGATGAACATGATGACAGCAGAGAAAGGACGTTGGAGTCAACTCCGAATGTGTAGGTGAACAGAAAAAAACACTAGAAAGGTTTTATGTTTGTAACAAGTGGCCTAAAGGATGATAGCAGCATCCCAGCTTTCTTTCTAACAATTTACCTCTCAGTTTCCCAAATTCTAGCATGGTGAGACACCTAGTGGTGAGGTATAAGAATAGTTACATTTGTTTTAACTTTATAAAGGGACTCCTTGACGCAATTTTACCATATGATAGTGAGTGAAAACTGATAATAGAATGATTCTCAGAGAGTGGGAAACTTTCGTGTGTGGAGATGTAATTTGAAAACATATTCTATCTCATTAACTTAATAGTTTGAAAACAAAAATTGTTTTAAAATATAATACAAATTACAGAATGCAAAGTTTGATGATCTTGGCTAGTAGGCATGTCCAGAAGATATAGCAGTGAGTCTCACAATCTGAGGGGATGTGGATCAAAAGGGAACACGTGTGAGATTTACCAAAAAGGAATATAGGTTTAAAGATTGAAAAACACTTAGGTAATTTGCCCAGTAATAATGATCTTCTAATGATCATTATACTATAAAGAAACTATTTCATTTTGTGGTTAGAGTAAAAATTTTGTTGTTTAAAAAACTCATTCACTCATATATTTAACTTATGTAACTTAGGCATACATTACTTTCTTATTATAGTCACTAAAATATATCTTTCCAAGATCTTTTAATAGAGAAAAATTAAATGTATTTGTGGTCTGGAGAAAACTTTGAAAGAATGATAACTTTCTTAGTGCCCTTTGAGTAATCTAGAGAAATATCAGAAACTATGATAACTTTCTTATCTTAGCTTCCTTTGAGTTAATATTTAATTTGGGTTTCTAGAAAGAAGGAATGTAATGATACTGTTGAAAAGGCTAAGGAGTAAAGTATTTGCTAGTGTCATTCCTTTCAAATATAATTACTGTCATATTTCTTCTTTAAGTGATTTACTTGAATTCTTTATTCACAATTTCAAGAATATTATAAAGGGGGAATTTCCCACAAATAGTTGCTTGTTACCTATTCAAGCCTGCAACTGGACCGTATGTCTCGAAATATTTAGAAGATGAGACATGAATGAGTATAACATGCCAAATTTGAAATGGCCTTATATCTGTGGGGCAGTGGTTCATTTTGGTTAGCGCAAGAAGAATGTGTAAGTAATTTATCAATGAGCCAACGTGTCTCTGCAAAGCTGTAAGTTTGGGAATCCAGATTTTGTGAATGGTCGTGGGGACTGGATTTCTGAGACAGGTCTGTGTTACAAGTATGAATAACATTATCCTGGAGTTGCTTAGCCAAATTGCTGTGAAATCTAGTGGCAGCGCTCATTTGACACATTTCCCAAAGACATGTTTAAAAATTAGTATGTAGTTTTTTCAAATAGCTTTATTTACATCCCAGAAGTTTGAAAGGAAATATCCGACTAACTAGATATAGGCCAGCACAAATAAGTTAGAATATTAAAACTACAATTATGTACTTCAGTGCTGTTAAAATCATAAGGTAAAAAATCATCTAAAAATGATGCTGCCAGATTTTTTATTCTCAAGTTCAATAAAATAATAATTCACTAAGTTCAAGAAAATATTTTTGCATGGGGCTTAGTCAAGTAATCTGTGAATATTTATAACTTGAAAGTTTTGTTTTTTATGATGTCAAGTTGTTTTAAGTAATTTACACATAAGTATAGAGTAGATTTGGTTTTTAAAGTAACTTTTTTTATTGCCATAAAATTTTCCGTTATTATCGGTACTCATAACAAATCATGTATTTTGGTGTAGGCTGTCAGACTACCTATTTCAAAGGAAGAATAAAATTTGGTTTCACTTTGTAGAAACAGAGATTTTCAAGATGTCAGAAAGGCATTCAGGTCAAGCTTGCACTGCAGCAGGAAATGAGGTGGACTCTCCTACTGTTAATTTCAAGTACTCCAGCTTCAGAGATTTTTGTTCCACATCTTCATCTCAAGATAGTGGCTACAGTGAGTTGTTAAAATCTTGCAGCTTTGATAATACAGAAAAAGAGTATTTCGGAAAGAAAGAAAAAGGCCCAACATTAAGCTATGAACATCCCGAAACTTCAAATCTGGACTTAACACATCCTTTAGAGTCTCCCACTCAAAAAGAGAGATTTGTCTTCCCTAGGAAGGAGAAGGATAAAACCCCAGAACTCTGTGAAACTCCTAAAATCAGTGGGAAAAAACTTCTACCACGCAGAAGGTTGACCATATCCTTCTCTCTTCTAAAAGGGGACTTTGAATCACAAAATAATTCTCTAGAAAGTAGTTCAAGCCAAGCTCTCAACTTAGAAAAAAATATTCCAAGCAGTGCTTCAGGTTTTCAAGGGCGAAATAATTTTAGTTCTTTGGGTACTAGCACTTTGAAAACAGAAGAAGCAACTTCCAGCAGTCAAAAATTGAGACTAAATTTTTCTCAACAGAAGACTTCCACAATTGATGATTCCAAAGATGATTGTAGCCTATTTGAAGTTGAATGTATATCTCCAATTCCGGGCAATAATTTTAAAGACTCTATTACACGTGACTTTAGTGATAGCAGTGTGTGTATTAACGATGAGAATACATATCCTGAACTTCTGGGCTCCTCTGTTAATGGCACAACTTGTGGAACAGATGAGGACATATTTGTGACTCCAGTAAGTAATCTTGTAGCAAACATTAAATTTAATGCAAGACAAAGGCTTTCTCATTCAACTGAAGTGAGAGGCAATATTTCAACACCTGAAGACAGTGGTTTTAATTCACTTTGCTTGGATAAAACAGAAGATTCTCTCTCTGACCAGGAGGGTTCTTTTCAAGAACTACATAAGAGAACTCTAAAAGTAGGGGACACCATAAAAAAGTCAAGGCGTCTTGGAAGGTTGAGAAGACTGTCCACCCTTCGGGAGCAGGGCTCACAATCTGAGACAGAAGAGGAAAAGCAGACCGTGCATTCTGACTCTGAAACAACATCAGAAACTGTTTCGGACATGTCAGAGAGCCAGCTGAGCAGTGATAGTAAGAGTGAGGATTTGATTTTAAGCTTTAAGAATTTATCACAGACCCCAGCCTTGCAATTAGTGCATGAGCTCTTTATGAAAAGCAAAAGGAAAAGATTCCAGCAAAGCGGTGCACATGAATTCTTAGAAGAAAGGGATGAGGGGAAAATTGCTGTACTACAGTGTGTGCTTGCAGGACTAATTGGCAAGAAAATGGGTATAGAAAAACTGGACATCTTAACAGAATTAAAATATAGAAATTTAAAGCATATTCTTGCTATGGTATTAGATTCCTTGACTACAGAAAGCCTATGCAGGTAAGAAATAAAATTTTTTTTTCCGAAACAAAACTGCCTTTTATCACTTCTTTTTTAGTTGAAAAGCTTTTCTATGAGTGGAGTAGTTGTTCTGTTCTTTATTTGTTTTGTTTTATTATCTTTATCTTTGATTGTCCTACATTTTATCAAAGGTGGTATAGTGAACTTCTCAATAGAGCTTACTGGTATAGCTCCCTCTATTTAAAAGCCTGCTTTAGAAGCAACAATATAATCTTGTGGATAAGGTTCATTTCACTGTCATTTGGGAAGAGAGTTTCTAAAAGTTGAACTTTAAACTTTCAAGATGGCAAGCTCCACGAAAGTTACTTAATGATTTATTTAATAGTTCACATCCTGTTGTCAGACTGCAAATTGTATTAAAGTTATGACACTTGGTCAGAAATAATGTAAAGCATTATGGTGACTAAGGAATGACAACATATAAAGATACCATTTAGTTATTTAGTCTGAGTTCTAGAATCCAAGAACAGTGGTTAGCTTTCATTTTAGGGTTTGGTCTTTTCAGAGACCAAGGGCAATATGGATTATTTCATTTTCATTGCTAACACAGCAGTGAAAGTTAATTACTTGGTAGAATTTCAAGGAATTAGAAACTGAAGAATTTGTGTTCACAGAGATTTCAGTATATTGAGTGGTGCTACATAATTAAAGAGAAACTACATCAGATATTTAGGAGTATTGAGGGTAGGAACTATGGCTGCAAAGACTAAACTGAGACTCTTCATACTGGCAATTCTGGAGTTGCAGGGCTCTCAGAAGACAAGAGCCTTGGGAATGCCATGACCAGGAAGGAGGGAAGCCATGTGGAATAGGAGTTCTGTAAGGTGATGCTTAGAAGAGGACATGCTGGAGAGATAGTGAAGCTCTTTTTCAATAGGGTATATCAAGAGTTTGGTTCAGGGGCTGGCCCCATAGCCGCGTGGTTAAGTTTGCATGCTCTACTTCAACAGCCCAGGGTTTCACTTATTAGGATCCTTGGTGCGGACCTAGCACTGCTCATCAAGCCATGCTAAGGTGGCGTCCCACATAGCAGAACTAGGAGGACCTACAACTAGAAAATACAACTATGTACTGGGGGACTTTGGGGAGAAGAAAAAAATAAGAGAGAAAGATTGCCAACAGATGTTAGCTCAGGACCAATCTTAAAAAAAAAAAGAGTTTGGTTCATAGAGTCTTTGCTGTTTTGATGGCCACTGCTGCTTCTAGTAAAGCCCCTCTTCACCTTTCCCCCATAAATGAGTTGTAGGCTATTGTAGAGAATTGTAGAATTTCATAGCTAGAATTCTTTTGAGATATCTAGTCCAATCACGTGTTTTGCAGATGAGAGAAGTGAACTCCAGGAAAATTAAGAGACCTGCCAATAGTGACTCAAGGAGACAGGAATAGATCCAGGTCTATGATTGAACCCTTTGATTTCTAATCCAGTACTTTTCTACAAACTTTTATAAAGGTTTAAGGCCTTTCTGAATAGATTTGATTGGGAATGTATTTGGTGTAACCCAAGTAGGATAATAAACAGATTAGTGCACCTATATGTGTGTGCCTTTAAAAAATGTTCAAACAAGATATTATTTGTTTAGAAAAATTAATGATATGGCTAAGATATAGGAATTTTACTTTTATGTGTCAGAGTATTTGGATACAGACCAGTTAAAAACTTGGGTGATAGTTTTGGGTGCTCACTTGTGGAAGTAGTTGATATTCAGTCATATTTCAATGATTACCTCTCCTGTCCAGGCCTCCAAATTTATAGTAGTTGTACCGCAGAATGCATGTATAATCTTGGTAATGTGAGAGATTATGGTCATTTGAAATAGCTGTGGCAAATACTCAGTTATATGTTTCATTTCTTCCCCATCAATGGATGACTTTCTGCCTATTCCTCTCCATCAATCTGATGTAAAGCATATGTATCAGTTTAGGGAGAGGCAATGGCAACTGAGGTGGCCATGGTAGCTGGAAGAATAGTAGTATTACAATTCAAGTATTACCTGGGGCCCTCCATAACCAGTGACTTTTTTTTTTCAACTGTCTGATCTTGTTCCCTTTGAGTGATTTGTGAAGTTAGAGTAATAAAAAAAGACCAGATTAACAGTTGAAGAAATACCTTTTCTTTAACAATTAGTACTGCCAAAGTTGTTAAATAAGCAATCACTGGGCATAAATTGCATTTTTTCCTTAGCTGCTTCATTCTCATAACCTTTGGTATATAAAATGGGACTTTGTAGTGTTACGCATAATAATATTTATTTGGCACTTAGTACATCCAGTGAAGGATTGATTGTTCTTGTGTTTGTTTAATCAAAATGACAGATATATTAAATACATTAATAGGAGAAATTGATTAAAAAAATCTCTTGTGCTGTAGATGATAATCATTTGCTGCATGTCATGTTCCAAATTTTTAATCTTAGTGTCACATTTGAAGTTAAATCCTCTTAATCAGTCTCCCTGTGGACTCATATTGGCTTTTATGAAACTATGTTTTTCCCTTAACCATTTATAAGATGATAATCTATCAATATAAATTCTGGCATATATTTAGTATTTTAATAAGAATTCTTTCATATGGTGAATCAATATGAAACATTGATGTAGATCAAGTCATATTTTTAATGTACATTTTTAGGCTTAAATTTACTTTCCAAAATCTTTAAAACAAGTTTTTCTTATTAATTGCTATATGCAAAAAATGTTAATCTTGTGGAATATATACAATATAAGGACTGATCTTTTTGTTATAGTGTTTGGAAAGTGAGCAGAAACTGGCGCGAAATTGTTGTTCAAGATAAAAAAGCAAATCAGAGGAGGAAATTTTATATCACAAAACTGAAAATGGATTCTGAGGTAATGTATATAATACTTTTCTAAAATGGATTTGTATAAATATCTGATGATCCCATATTGCTGGCCAACTTAATTTAGTTTTCCTGATTTCTTTTAACCTTTTCCATTTAGCAAACATTCACTCATAAACTCTTTACTTTTCCCAAACTCCATTTCCTTCCAGTCCATAAGTGGAGTAGACTACCTAGCATCAAGAACATCTTGTTGAGTTTTGTTGCTGTTTAAGTGTATGTACTGTTAGCAGTATTTGAATACCAGTGATGTGCTGGATCCCATTCAGAATTAGATATCCTTATAGCACTTTCTATCCTGTCTTTTGAGTAGATATTACTGTCACTTGCTCAGATTATGATGATGAACATTTCTGACATGGTCCCTGCTCTCTTGGAGTTCATACCCTGTGTGTGATAACAGGTTAACAGGTGATTAAAATACAGGTGTGTTAAGAGAAGCCCAGAGTTAGTTCTATTGGAACATTTAAAAGGAGTGTTTAATACTTGGGAATCAAGGGAAGGCTTCTCAGAAAAAGTGCATCTTACTGAGACCTGAATCATGAGTTAGCAGTTAGCCAGATGAAGACGGGGAAAAGCGTTTCAGCAGAGGGAATAACATATATGAAGCCCTGGAGGCTAGTGAGCATGGCAGATTAGTACTAGTACTAGTAGAGCATCATAAACCTGTACTCTTTTGAAGATTTGAGGTCCAGCTTTGAAGTTACAGGAAAAGTCCTACAGAAGCAGATTCGTTCTTCCTAGGGACGTACTTTGTATAATAGGCATCTGATGACTCTGGCCCCCCTATTTATTGTATATTTAACTTTAGACCTTTCTTAGACATTAATACCAAAAGAAACTCTGAGAGTTTACTCCCTTATTCTTGGTCTAGTGAAAAGTATTTAATAACATCTTATAAGTAAATTTCTAAGTTGAGTAAATATAATAATTGACATGAAGCATGGCATAAACAAATATGAATACCTAAATACAGATTTGTGGGTTTCTCATTACAATGAAATATGAGCGACTGATGTTAACTAAAATGTTGACTTTCTACTTTACTTTTAAGAAAAGTTTTACCTTCTCACTTGTGATGTTTCCTTACGAGTTACTCACAGCTCCTGGCTACTTACTGCTGCAGCTGCTGGCTCTGGGAGCTTATAATCCTGAAGATATTAGTTGCCTTCTTAACATTTCTTTTTAGAGTGCTTCCTTACATGCTAAGGACTTAAAAAACAGTTTTTTAAGCAAGCACCTATTAATATTAAACTTTTAGCTCCATGTACTCCTTACATCCTATAAGGAAGAAACAGGTGGTTGTGTTTGGCAACACCAGGTAATTCTAGATAAACTATTCTATCTTCTAGGCTGGCTACCACTTTTTTTCCTTCTAATTTGGTTTCTTAAAGGACTACACTTTTTTTCCTTACTTGAACTCTTTTTCTTATTTTGATTTGCTTTTTAAATTTTTTTTCAAAGAAGAACAAGTACATGGTTAAAAAAGTCAAATTGGACAATAAGGCTTATAACGAAACATGCATTCTCCTGCCCTGTCACTTCCTACTCTGGATTCTTCCCCATCAAGGCAATCACTTTCAACTCTTCAGCTGCTCCTTCTGATATGTACCTCTCCATTTCTAAATAGCATGCCTTTACTGCTATTTCTTTGCTTTCTTTCAACAAATTTAGAGATTGTTTGTTCTCTAACCTCTTACCACTACTACCGCTACCTGTCTACCCACCTGTCTCTCTGAATTCCTTTTTCCCTTTCTCCTCTTACCGTCCTTTGAAAGTGAATCTGAATTAGGTGCTGACATTATTAAGACTGTACTGAGATTGTTATGACTTTTGACAGCTGTAACGTGCAGTACAGTATGATTACACCTTTTTTCTTATATAACTTTTTTTTCCCCAGAGTTAATAATTGCCCAGTTTCTTTCTTTTTTGCTTAGTGTTTCTCTATAGAGATCCTTGATTCATCTCCCATTATCCACCAGAGCTGGAAACCTCCTCTGTGTAAGTCCAGACAAATCAGGTATTCTACCTGTTCCTTCTTTTCTCCGAGACGTCCTTCCTGGTGCCATTTGCCTTCCTATTCTGATGTGGACTGGTTGCTTTCTACCTGATTATCCTAGTGTATGTCATTAACCAAAACAGAAAAACTATAAAACAAAGTTTTTTAATGGTTTTCCTCACACTTGTATAGCATCACTGACAGCTCCTTAAGTGTGAAAATTAGAAGGCACAGATCGGCTACATGTAATAGGATCTCAATTTTTTCTATTTGCTGTGCAGCAGTGAGAATGAGCATTAGCATTAGGATACCATATCTTTTCCATTGAATTTCTTAATTTACTGTATTCTTCAGTGTTTTGTTATAATCATGGAAATGAACAACCATAAGGTGACTCCACTCTCACATTTAAATATTTTCTGGTAACATGATGGTGACTATGTTTTGAAAAATTTTGGCATTCATAAACATATGCCTTTGTTGACTGCTTTGCCTCCTATTGTTAAGAGATATTAGCACACATTTTAAGCTCCAGGAAGACAAGGATTAGACTGTTTTATTCACTTGGCACCTTCAGGTGTTCTATAAATATTTGTTAAATGAACAAATGTTTCTTCTGTGGCTGAAATTTGCTTCAAAATATCCCTATTTGTTTTTTTTCTGCATGCGCAGTCACTGTGTTTACCAACTGCCTTGAAATCCATTGAAATTTTAGTATGCTCTTTTGCCATGTGCATGGCCTAGGCTGCAAATAATTTATACAAATGTAATATAAGAGAGTATTGAGTCCTATATGAAACTGTAATACAGTTCAACTGTATTCATTCTAATTTCTGAAAACTAATATTCATTCATTATACTTATGCATATGTTGTTAAACTGTTAATCACATAATTTTTCATGACCAGCTATCCTCATTTCCTATACTTATCCTACTATAATTTCTCATGTTTTAGCTCTCCCCGCTGTTAGGAGCCAATTGTGGCAAAAGGAGACTATCAAGGAAGAGGAATCAAAATCATAGTTGGACACATGAGAAAGTTCACATTTTATTTTGATAATTGGTTAAGAATGCCAATTTGCTAAAAAAAAAAAAAAGCCTTACTATTTTTTTTTTCTCTTACCAACCTTAACAAAATACAAAGCTATAAGGATTAGTATTGAAGATAATACTTGGCTGAATATTTGAGTAATGTGGAAATCCAGTTCAGATACGAGATTTTTTTTCTCCTTTGAAAATATCAAAGCTGTTCAAAACTTAACTGTAAAAATGAGTCAAATATTTACAAGTATTGCAAAAACCAGTCGAACAAATTGGGTTTCATGGTCTACCCAGAACCATTATTCTTCTGACGTGTGGCTAAGGTGAGAAACGTTCAAGGAATTCCATGATACCCCATAGCAAACTTTGAAAAGATTCACCTCACGGCAGCCTGGTGGCGTAGTGGTTAACTTCCCACGCTCCACTTCAGGTGCGGACCTACACACCACTCATCAAGTCATGTTGTGGTGGCATCCCCATAGAAAATAGAAGAAAATTGGCACAGAAGTTAGCTCAGGGACAATCTCTTCTTAGACCTTGGCTTAAAACAGGGGTTAGCAAACTCCAGTCTATGGGCCAAATCCTGTCCATCACCTGTGTTTTTAAAGTAAGTTTTATTGGAAAACAGCCCTGCTCTTTTATTTATGTATTTCTACAGCTGCTTTTGCTAAAACAGCAGTTGAATAACTGCGACTATCTGGCCTGCAAAGTGTAAAGTATATACTATCTGGCCCTTTTTGGGAAAAGTTTGCCTACTCATGCAAATAACCAATCGTACAAACTTAAAGCTAGCATTTATTGTTTTAATTTTTTCTTTTTATGTTTCCTTAACTTTTAAATGTTAGATGAGAGAACATTTTTTTTCTAAAAAGGAATGGTTTAGGGAGAAAATTCTAGTGGTGTGAAACCACTTCCAAATATTTAAATCACACATGTGCATCAGAAAGCCGTCCTGGAACTCTTGATATCCTGGTATTGACCCCTCTTGTCTTTTACCACAGGGGGCTATATTAAATGTTGAGGATGCTGCCACTCGGCTCCATGTTTTAAATCGATCAGCTTTAAGATCTGTACAAGCTCAGGCTAGGACACCAGGTTCTCAGAAAGAACAAGTTTCAACATTTTCTCCTTGGGGAGAAGTTTTGACACCTATAGCAAGCTCTTCTATTACTCATTTAAGTAGTAAACAGGAAGAATATGTTAAGGTGAGTATTTATCATAAGTTATTAGAAATAAATATTTACAGAGTTTGAAATAAAGCAATTTCTCTATATGAAACTGGAAGATTTAGTGTGTATGCTTTCACTGCAGGTTGCCAAAACACTTTTTATTGATGAAGCATTAAAACCTTGCCCAAGGTGCCAATCCCCTGCTAAGTACCAGCCATATAAGAAAAGGGGACTGTGTAGCCGCACAGCCTGTGGTTTTGACTTTTGTGTGTTATGTTTGTGTGCTTATCATGGGTCTGAAGAGTGTAGTAGAGGAACAGCAAAGCCAAGAAATAGAAAAGATGCTCTTCCAGGAAGTGCCCAGAGTAAGCGGAATTTAAAACGCCTCTAAAGAGACTTTAAATATACAAGAAGCATTCCCCCTAAGCAACGTTTTGTCTGACTTAAAATTATGAATATTTTGAAAGCATGCAAATTTTCCCATTAATGAAAGATGATGATTTATTTCCTATTTTGTATATATATTATAATCCATGTCATTTTATGTTTTCTTTAAAGTGGTGAGTTTTGAAAAAATTTTATTTTACTATGTCACTTTTACCCATTTTAATAACTATGTTTTAAATAAAGAATTTTCCATGTTATCATATATATGTATTTAACTGTTTCGTGTAACATTTAAAAATTGTGCATTTCATCACTATGTGTTGAAATGTTCTTCAGTCACTTCTTAAAAATAGTTTTCCAAATAATATTACAAATTTTGAACTTGAGACAGATGGCCTTATAGATTTGCAAAATGAATATTTGATTGAAATGAAATATAAATAAAATGTTTTCAGAAGTTCTATTGAATTTACTCCATAATTTCAACCTTTATCTTAATTTAATGAGTGTCATTTTTGGGCAGACTTCTGGTTAAATAAAATTTACTTAATATTGATAACTAAGGATGTAAAAAGTAACTTATTAGACATATGTGGTTATTTACAATGGGAGTCTTAGTTAATAAACCCTCCTAAGTCACGCATTTCATGTAAGTACTTCTTAAAAGTCCAGACTTATAGTCACAGATTTCATTTGTTTAGTCTAGCTTGGGTAGCAATATTGTGACATATTTGGGCTGGTTGAGAAAGGTGGTTTTTTTAAATAAAATTTACTAAATTGTTTATAATGTACCTCTTTCCAAAAATGATTTGAGGTTGCATGTTCCATTTATAGAAGAGCAACAAGAAAGAGAGAAGTTCTATTGTTGAACAAATTACTAAAACCAGGGGAAAATTTGAAGATAGTTTCATAATTTCTTTGTGTTTAGGTAACTGATGTGTGCATATGTCTGTGTACACACTATACACATAGATTTAAAATGTCACTCTTCTTATATATTATTTTAATAAGACAATTTTAAAGTGTGGATTAGATGTAGATATATTTAGAAAAATTTCCCTTAAATTTTAGTTTGTCATTTAACTCACTAAAAAATTTTGATTAACTGCTACGTATTAAATTTTACCCGTATCCTTTGTAATTCCATAAAGAATTTTTGGAGCCTAAATATAAATGAGTAAATTGTTAGTTATATTTAATAAGTTACACAGTCCATAAATTTTATATCACATTTTCTGACTTATTTGATTCTAACCATGTTTAGTTCTTAATGTCTATTTAATTTCCTGAGATATCTTCCACATCAGGATCAATACGCTTATTAATTGTTCAATTAAGGCTTAACTTTTTTCCTCCATCAGAGAAGTTTCTCTGTCCTTAGGAAACTTATTCGCAGTCTTGATTTTCTTAATTTGTGAATTCAACTCTTTGATTTAATCCAAACTATTTGTCTTTGGCCTCCCTTCCTGTGGCTTAGATCAGATCATATCTTCTTCTGTCATGTGAACACCTTTGCTATTCTATGTTCTTGATTTCTGCCTGGCCTAAATGCCATTCCATAAGTGACTTTTTAGGTCTTAAAAATCACAGATTCAGTTCCATGATATGTTTTTTAAAAATGAAATGCGAGATTGTCTATTCTATATAATTTTAAATGTTTACATTTCCTGATATTATGAAATTTTATTATTTTATTACAGAATAATGGAAAAGGAAAGATAAGCATTTCTTTTACCTTTTTACACATGAAATTGTCAGTAGTGCAAATGTAGGAATCTGGAATCCTATTTCCAGTCCATTATGAGGCACGTTGTCATTGTCATGTGTATTGCAGTCAGAATGCCTTCGCAGTGTGATCACATTTGTCATCTTGTGGTTACCCACTCTATTAGGATGTAATATTTTAGTTCACTCTGGTGGTGAAGAAGTAAATTTTACCACATTTGGTTTTAGAAATCAATAAGCTATGTGTATTCCTTTCTACTGCAGGTACAGTTAACAATGGAAATTCGAATCTTTTATATCTCTGTTTTTAATTGGGATTTGAGTATTATGATCAAGCAGTTGTGAATGAAATAGTATAAGGACTTAATACCTTATATTTTAATGATTTTATAATAAAACTTTCTGAAGAAAAAAGATCAGAGTAGAAATTCAAAAGGAAAGCTTCTTAGTGATAGGTTTTATATTTGTGATGAGGTCAAGAGGTATGTAGGTTAACTGGAAGAAAATCATACAGTATTCATGAACAACTTTATTAAACCAAAGTTCCAGCTATCCAGAAAATAACCAACATTGTCCTAATTATTGTAAATTATTGTGTAGTATAGTAAGTGACTGGAGCAGTTACTCTAGCTATCTTCTCCCATAGCATCCTGTACTTACTCTGTCATGGCACTTAGTTCACTTTATTTATATTGCTTGTTTAATTTTCTTTCCCTATAAGACTGTAAGCTCTGCGAAGGCCTGGAGTATATCATGTTTGATTAGATACTGTTGGATCCCAGCACCTAGCCTAATGCCAGGCAAGTAGAAGGTGCTCAATAAATATTTATTAAATGAATAGATTTTTTTAGTGCTACTAGTAATTTTTATCCAAGTAAACCATTATAATTCTATCCTAATAATTTTTTAGTTTCTTAATATTTGATTTCAGTGATTAATGTTTCATTATACAAAAAAGTAGGATCTAAAGGATTGCTTAACTTGCTTTTAACATGTAATCAGTGGATTTGTTTGGTTTACTCATTCTCTTAGTTGATTTCTGTTACAACTAGATAAAGTGTAATGGAAGGAGCACTAGGCTAGGAGTCAAAAGCCTGGGTTGGTATCTTGAACTGCTTACCAGCTGTGTCCTTATGCAAGTCACTTATTGATTCTGAGCCTATTTTACCTATAATTAAGAGAAATTCAAAGAGATGATGTATCGTGAAATCACTCTTGAAACCTTGTTACACCAATCTGTGTTACTACATATTTGGCTGAATGTGAATAGAATAAAACAAAATAGCATTTGTGGGGATAGAAAATATGACCTTGATATATCATTAGCATTATGCTGAATGAAACTATAAAGTCAACTTCTAACTTGCTTGTAAAAAAATGTCTGGTTGAAAAAAAAATTCAACCAACCATGAATTGAGCATTTGCTATGTATAAGCACTGTTCTAAATCCTTTACATGTGTTAACTCATTTATTCTTCACGGTGACTCTATGAGGCAGTTATTATCTTATTCCTTTTATATGTCAGGAAACCAAAAATCAGGTTAGATAATCTGAGATCATACAGACAGCAAGTGAGGGGAGCCAGGATTCTAGCAGAGGTAGTCTGCTACTTGTACATGACAAAACTCTTTGCAGAACCCCTGTTGATAAATTCAATGTGCATATAATTACCGTGTCTTAAATGGGAGATTGTTTTGCCATTTAAGAAAAACCTATTGGTATACCAGGAAAAAAATAATTCTAATTTAGAACAATTCTGCCTGAACAGAGTAGTTCTTTAGCTCATGAGTGGTTTAAACAACTTTATCATTTGGAAAACTAAATGAGTTTCATGAATATACTATAATCTGAGAGCTCAGTTCAAGAGAAAGGCCACTGCTCCAGTCCCAAGGTCTTTATAATCTAAAGACACAAGGCATGAAAACAAAAATAAGTATTATCACATTCCGGTAATTACTACACTCTTACAGGTTCTTATTACGGGGTGAGAGAAAGTAATAAGAAAAAGTTTACCAACACTTATTGATGAGTCTGCTCTGTGTTCCCAAGAAGAGTCTAAAAAAGAGAGATGATTAAATTTGGCATTTTATTTTTATATTTTGTTTCACTTTTTAGTAAGGACATAAGAATGAATGTTGATTCTGGGGAAAGCCAATAAATGCTTTACCTTCTACTGATTTGAGATAAGAACTTCTCTTTCTTTTCCCCCTGTGGTCTGCCCCTTTGACATCCTTGCTAACTAATGGGCCAGGAATATTTTTTCTATTTGACTTCCACTTGTTTCCATGAAGGACAGGTATTTCCTATTTCTGACTTCCTAGTTTGGAAAAAAAATGGTCAGAAACTTGCGATAAGTAATATAAAGAGAGACAACAGTTTAAGAGTTCTCTGATCATTTTATACTAGCGTTTCTATGGGCACAAATATGGATATTTAAATTTGTTCCAGCTGTTTAAATACTTAATAAAGCCATATTATAGGTTTCTTAGCAATAATTTAAAGGTAGAACTGCTGTTGAGAAAACATTTTTGATACTTACTTAGCACTGTGTAAAGCTAAATTTTTCCATTACCTTTGCTTAATTTATGACAAAAAGCAAAATTGTTGCCAATTTATGACACAAGAATTTACTGAACATTTTCAACATTTTATCTTTTATGTTCCTTGTTTGCATTAAGTTATTTATATGGCCTTATTTTAAATTGTGTCTCTTAAAAATAGTGTAACATCTATAGCAAATGTTTTCAATGTAAAAGAGAGAAATAGTCCTTATGTTTCTGTGTGGAGGAGGGTAATATTTCAAAGCTCACACTAAACCTTCCACAAGGGGGCACCAAAGACTCACTTATAGTGATTTTGGCTATTCTTCAAAAAAATAAGTCTAGGGTTTTTTTTGTGGAAGATTAGCCCTGTGCTAACTACT